TTAATCACCGCCACTATTCCAAACACCAAGTGAAGTAGATCCAACAAATCAAACAACTCCATTCTTTACACATAGATCCAAAAGAGGCAGCACACACCAAAACGAAAATTAAAATCAAACAACTCTTCTATAGTAATCAAGCTAGCAAACACTTTTAAAGAGAGAAGTCAAAACCAAACTCAAAGACAATTCCTGGAAGTATTAGATAGAAACAAAATAAAAGGATAAAATCATGTTGCAGGTACACATATCCTCCGGACATTTGAGACCAATATCACTGCACCAACTAACCATTGTGTCTTTCTTAAACCCAATCCCGACGCAATCTGACATCTTCCATGGCTTCCAGCTGCAACCCTACATCGAGGGTGCATGGGTCAAAAGACAATGACTACAACGTTTCACGGCAATAATTCTACACCATACAAAGTAAACAACAAGGAAGAGGGAGGAGACCAAAGATGATTTTCAAAAAGACTGCTGCCGACCCTAAAGCCAAAGCAGTGGCCGACGACTGTGGCTAGGTTTTTCGTTGACTCGAATAGGACTTTGATCAACAACTATAATCGTATAAAATTACTAATTAAATTAACTTTTTGAAAAAACAAGTCTGATATGAATTGATAGATGATTAATTTTGTATATGATCATGTAAATTAATTTATCATAGATTCGATTCAATGAGGCTTTATTCCTTTTCCTGGGAGAATACCTGAAGCAAGAAAAAGATGATGAGTTCAGTGCAATGACTCATTTTATTCTCATTCTGATATAGAGACCCTGCGTAAAGCGGGAGCCTTGTGCACTGGGTACGACCTTTTTTTATTGCCATTCGTTTTATAATAATTCCATATACAGAAAAATATTCACACATATATTTTGCATAAAAAATAAATTGTTATGTGGAAGAAATTAATGTACATATATGGATGATAGCCAAAATGAAAAACCTAAAACAGTTTCTAATTTAGGTAATATTTTTTACCCCTTCATTCCCACCACCCTTCTTCAATCCCTCATTTTCTTCGTGTGCCTTTCCCTCTGGTTAACAAGCCTTATAACGTAAATAGTCGACTGATCTCCATCTCTTTAAGTTCAAGTTATAGCTATGAGCCTATGGTGACTGAAACACAATAGAAAAATAATTATATAGTTGATATGATGTCACTATATATAAAAGCTCATCCGCTCATTAATTTGTACTCAAAATTAACCATATAATCTTTGTTTAAATACGTCCATATGGAAATCATGACATTGACTAAAGCAGCATCGATCATGGATTTATCCTTATCAGTTTATTTTTATAAGATATTTTGCATATGCCGAAATTTCACATCAAAACGAAGCACTTGCAAAAATTCTGAAAAATTATATGCCGATGCCAACCTGGTGTAAAGCTTCCATATCTGCATATTCTTTATTCTTCAATGAGCAATTGGTTGGTGAAAAACAACAGTTGCATGAGGTAAATTGGTCAGCAGAACATTTCCATAACCATTAACTAGATACTGTAAAATATAAGTTCAAGGAAGTGATCATTCTGTTCTAGTTCAAAAAAGAAGGCCATAAAATATAAGGAAAAAGTGGTATTATTAGTAAACTTCTACAATTATGATGGGTCACATGGCAAAAGCAACGCTAATGGGATGGTTGATGCTTCATTTGCTTTACTTTACGTGCTCTTTCTCTGTCTATTTAAAGTGTTAGATTTTGGTACTTGGACATGGTTCCCATATCCTTAAATCCAAACTAGGCAGAAGCTGGCCATTTCAAAACCGGACAACTTTAGAAGTTTATCATGGGAATTGTAGCCTAAGTTAGCTCTTATTTGCAATTAAGAAGATGGAATTCATAGTTAGGAAAACTAATGAAAAGGGCTTGAAAACTTTGAGTTTTAATGATAAGGACAAAATAAAGGGTAAAGTGAATAGTACCAGATTTGACTTTTTAGTGTAAAAATATGGTTTTTTGTTAAAGTGAACAGTATTGTGGGCTTTTCGTTAAAACTCCATTTTTTCTTCTCAAGGATAATAAATTTACGACACAAACTCCCTCCAAGGAGAGAAATTTGTCATTGTGACCGGAACAATTCCCTATATTTGTTTTGTTTAGTCTTTTAATGCATTTAAACAATTGAATCTAATATTCTTGAGACTTTGAAAGTGTTAGTGTTAGAAGGAAATTTCAACTCAAATGTGGGATGTCGTTAGAGTTTTAGAGTGGAAATTTCCTTGCATCTCATTTGTTCCACGTCAAGTTGTGAAGTTTCATACCTTATAACATCAAGTCCATCATACAGAATGATTGGTAAGATGAACCATTGGAAGCAAAATTGAACTTAAACCTTGGATTTTAGCTTTGGGGTGTGATAGTTAATATATAATTAATGCATAATTAATATGTATTTAATTATAAAAAAGGGATTTTATGCTTTTGGTGTGATAATTAATATATAATTAATGCATAATTAGTATGTATTTAATTATCAAAAGATGGGGGTTTGGGTTTTGGGTGTGATAATTAAAATATAATCAATGCATAGTTAATAAATATTTAATTATTGAAAGATGGGCCATGACGCTCACATCTAATAATTAACTTAAGCAATTAATTTTTTAATTTATTAAATTAATTTTGGATTTAATTAATTTTTTTATTTTTCAACAGACTCATTCTTTTGAATGAAGTTTGAGAGCGTTTGAGAATGTATGAAAAAGTTTGAGGAAAAGATGAAGCCACAACCCTTTATGTTGAACAGTTGCCTCCCAAAAACATGCATGATGCGAACAGGCATATGCTTACTAATTTACTATAAATACATGCATTTGCATATCATTCAAACCACCAAAAATCATCTATCCCTCAATACAAATCATACTGAGAGAACCACAAAGATATTCGCTATATGTCTAGTTTTTCGGTGTTGGATTCTCGACATAGATTGTTGAATCTTGGTGAAGCAGACGTCCATTGAACTACAAGCACAAAGTAGGGACAAAATTATGTTTCAAGGACATTGCCGCATGCAAGCCTCGATCTTCATTTCGTTTGTTTAATATCAGTCTTGTTTATTCAATATGCAGCGTTGCTATTTATTTGTTTATTAGCATATTCAAAATTTTCTATATGTATAAATTTATTATTGATTGTTGATAAATCTCCAACAGAAAGTCGCTCATCCAAACATAGAATAAAAGGGATTTAGATCCTCTCCGGATCCCCTCATTGGGGATCTCAGGGATTAATGCATGGTAACTGTTCATCAAAGATCGTGCGGTCACAATTTTTTTTTTAAGTTTTATATTTTTCAAGTAAAACGAGGCTGCTTTACTTTTAAAAATATAAAAAACATTCAATTATGGCCGCATGATCTTTGATGAACGGTTACCATGCATTGATCCCCGAGATCCCTAGTGAGGGGATCCAAAGAGAATCCAAAGAGAATCTAAATCCGAATAAAAGGGCATCGCGAGAACATTAGGGTAAAAGTGCTCTATAGAGTTAACCTTCCCAGTACATCGCAAAACACGTGATCGAAAGATGCCCCCTCAGTCCCTTTTTTTTGTTTTTTTATCAAAAATACTGAGAACTTTTCTTTTCTTTTTACTTGTTAATGGACTTAACTAACCGCTTAGTTTTGATTGCATTCAGGCCCTTGCCTTTCCCATAGGTCGAGCCAATCTCGAGTTCTTGAGTAAGTTCTTTTATCTCGAGTGATATATTTGTTAGTTGCCATATTACTTGAGAGGGTGGAGAAGAGTCTGCAGTTTTCTCGAAGGGGTCTCGAACAATGAGAATTAGGCAAAGAAAGGTTTTTGATCCAATTAGGTGACTCCGCTGCCTTATGTGACCGGATTTGGCGCTGTCTCGACTCGTGAACACGAAATAGCTCACTTGTGAGGAGATGGTGCGTGTAGTCTTGGATAAAGTGTCTTTTTCTCTCTGATGAGCTGACCAGTGGTTACATTCTCGGAGTAGTGTGTATTTTGTTGTTGTGGTCGCGCGTATATTGTATGTGGTCTTCGAGCAACGAGTTATGTGCTCCCAATTTTCAATGGTGACTTTATGTGGTCTCACTCTACCGTTACGATTTTATGTGGTCTTGTTCATTTGCGATTACTGGTGTAGTTACTGGTATAAGTCTGTTGCTTCTATCATTTTGCGACATTGTATTAGTGGCATTTTGTATTTTGTGTTGAATTTGTATTGGTAGTTTGTTTAATTGTGCAAATTCACGATAGATGAATTACTTGGTCAGTGTAGTTGTGTACCCGGTTGGCAACATTTGTAATTGTTTGTGATGTTCAATGGAAACTACTTTATTGCTTCTTGTCAAAAATGTTTTTGGTCCAGTTAAAACTATAAATCGGTTTTCACAAGTAAAAACGACATTTTTGATAAAGAATGACCTCCAAAAAAACCGACATTTTTACAAAATTTCCAATTTATTTGAGAGTATTATTACGTAGACACAAAATTGATCATATTATTGTCAACCTCTTTAATTTAAATAAGTACTACATGCAATAGAATGGATAAGCAACTATTTCCAAGGTATGTTGAAAGGAGAAATGAAAGCTTGGTGACTAACTTGGAGGTAGTAGATGGACTACCTAAAAAATAAAAGTTATCCATTCCAATCCTCACCAAAATGAGAGGAATAAGAGGGAGAAGTTCCTTGCATATCTAATTATCTTCTAATCCTGTCAACTCTACATGAAAAACTATTCTCCTCTTTCTTAAGAAAAAAAATTAAATCTTGAAAGTTATTCATTACAATCTAATCTTCTATACCGAACGAGGCTGTAGCACTATTCTTCTGTATAATAGAATGGAGAAATTGAACATGACTTTGAAACATTAAACAAAGCTTTGCCTTGTAAGAAGGGAAGTGTGCTCTTGTGCTTTTCATTGGGCTTGATTGAGGTCAGCCCTCACCAACAATGCAATGTGAAAATGGGCCTGGTCTAGAAACTCAAAAGTCCAATCTAATCCAGATGCCGAATTACATGGCAGTTGACTCAACCCAAACAAATATCTGAAAAGCGACGTCGCTTCAGTGAGTCAGAAACCTCGTCTTTCCGTTTGTAGCTGAGCAGCTTCACCGCCTCCACCTCAACGAGCAATTCACACCAAGGTAACCTCTTGATTTATTCAAAGTTACCATCTTTAAATTGGAAAATAAAATAAAATTGGGGAGGTCCCTTGTTTGGTTGATTAGGGCACGAATTTCAATTAGGGTTCGACAGATGTGTCGGGGTACCGGGAAATTGGGAATGTTGTACTTTGTGGAATTATTATCCTGGGTTTGGATGAATTTCGGAAACGGAAATCAATCTTTTTGCAGATTTATTTGGAAAGTTGGAGCCTTTGGAATTGGAAATTGAAGGTTTCAATCCATATTTCGGAAATTTGATTGCTTTATTAACTGAAACTGAAATTTGACTCTAAATTGTGATAAAAGAAGCTGAAATGTTACCCATTGGAACTGAAATTTTTATCAGTGGATTCGAGATTGGGTTAGGAAACATATGGGGTTTAAGCAGACAGGTTGAAATTGCACTTGTAGATAAATCTCGAGTCTCTCATTTCCTGCATTCTGTTGTTCTTAACTTTGTAGTCTTGAAAAAAAAAGAAAAAAGTGGATAAAAGTTGATTTCAAGTTTATACTAAATTCATCGTTGGTTTGTTATATTATCCCGTTTATCTTGTGGGAATTTCTAAAGATCAATTTCTCGAAGAAAAAGAAATTATTAATTCGTTTAATTTCTGTATACCAGGTGCGCCTTTGAAGAGCTTTAGAGTTGGTCTGAGATGGATACATCACAGAATGCAACAGCAGGAATCGGTGGGAGTGGTGGAAACGGAACGTTGGTCCCTCAAACCAATGATACAGCTGGACCGGCAGTGGTTGATGGTCCAAAGCAAAACCTGAATCAGGTCATTAACTCTATTCAGAAAACCTTAGGCCTCATTCACCAACTCTACCTCACCGTGTCTTCGTTCAATTCCGCGTCTCAGCTCCCCCTCCTCCAACGCCTGTAATTTTCTCCGTCTGAGCTTATTCGATGTTTATTCAAACCTTACATTCTCAATATATTTTATTGCTGCTTGGAGACTTTCTCACATTGGGTTTGACCTATCAGAAATGCTCTTGTTATGGAGCTTGACAACATGGCTAAGCTATCAGAAAAATGCAATATCCAGGTTCCTATGGAAGTTTTTAAGTGAGGACTCTCCTGTAATTTGCTTTTAGCAACTGACTATTCCTTTTCTGTGGAGAGTTCTGACGCTTGACTTATCAATTTTGCCTAGTTTGATCGATGATGGGAAGAATCCTGATGAATTCACAAGGGATGTCATTAACGGCTGCATTGCCAAGAATCAGATCACAAAAGGAAAAACTGATACCTTCAAGGTAGCTTTTCCAGTGTGAAAATAATTATTTAGTTCCGTTTTGATGTTTGAAGTCTGTCACGATGAACCTACTGTGCGCATTTTTTCAGAGTTTACGCAAACATCTCCTGGAGGAACTTGAACAGGCTTTTCCGGATGAAGTTGAATCTTACAGAGACATACGTGCTGCATCTGCTGCTGTAAGATACCATGAATTCCCCCACCAATATCTTGAACAATGAGTTTATTGAGCTTATTGGCCTCCTTCGTAAATGTCCTTTGTTAAACATATTTTTTTGTCAAAATTAAGTGAAGAAAGTCTTCCATGGACCCTTTCATCCCTTTCGGCCTTTCTTCTTTGTGGTCATTTATCCAGATCAAACAACCTTTCTCCAATGGTTTTACTTATTTTCGATAAAATCTGCTACAGATGTGTTGACTAGGCACTCAGCAGAAGCCAGCTTGTTTGTGTTTATTGTCGATATTTCATTCTCATTCTTAGAGAATAGCGGAGCCTTCTTTGGAAGCACTCATGTTACCGTCTCCTTGTGTTTTTTTGTGTATTTAGGTATGTTTAATTACACCATTCTCATATGGTTTAAACTCGTTTTGTATGATACAGGAAACAAAACGGCTTGCACAAGCTCAGAGCACACTACCAAATGGAGATGTGAAGGTCAAGCCAGAGCTTTAAGTGTATGATTCGTTTATGTATCATGTTGTTACTGTCCACATCTTGCCGTGCTTGTAATCTACCAAGTAGTGAATTCAAAATGATGAGTGATTCTATATTACATGTGTAGTTCCTTAAACATGTGGGAGCTTAATGACTTTGTTCACCTTTACACCTATATGCCTAGATACTTTGTCAATTTACTTTGTAATATAGTAATTTTTTTTGTAAAAATCATGTTATTGGCGTCGTCTTGATTATTTATTTTGTCAAGTTTATTTCATTTGGGTGCATGAGGTTAACAACCATACTCAATTCCAAATTAGACAGAAAAAAATGTGTTGGTTTTTGAGAAGTACAATTCAAATAGTTGTGCATGTAGTATGTAGGTCTTTTAGGGGTGAGTGTAGACTGGTTAGGTTCAGGCTTTCAACAGGCAACCAAACTAGTGAGAACATTACAGTCCTGTTTGGTTCGGTTTAGATCTGTAACTAAAAAATCATTTTGTTACTGATTTGGTATTTACAGTGGACATGTTTAGCAAGAAGTTCGTAGCTCAATTCGTCAACAGCGTTCATCTTTTCATCCGAGTTTTCGGGTTTGAATCCTCTCACATCTCTAACATCGCTCGTATAAGACACAAATTGGACTTGCTTAACATTTCTACTGTCAAATGTACATTTAGCCCAAATTGAGAAGGGTTTTTGTGATTTGGGCCTTCAAATTAATCAGCCACACTGCATTCCTCAATTTTCGAAACCAAAACGACCCAACAAAATAATTTGATGGTGAAAACATTCCAACAAACCAAACAAAATTGAAAATTAAAATAAAAAAAATCCAAAACTGACATGCATATTGGTGCTGATAGTTTTGCCAGAAATCTGTCTCCCAGCAGCAGCACCTGCACCCTGTCTCTCAGTTGTTTCATTGGACCATTTATATAAAAACCAAACTCGAAGCTGAATCAGTCGTGATATTGTATGTCTGAGTTTGAAGTTTGCAAAGTTTGATAATACATACATATATATATATATATATATATATATATATATATATATATTAAAAGGTTTAGATTCTGGATGCATGCTTTGGCACACATTTTAAGACTCGTTTTGTAAAGGTCATTTTATAATGTATTTCAACGATTCGTACCGTTTATATTTTAATATTTAGTACATAATTCATGGATCATTTTTATAAAAATTAGACAAATCAAAACAATTAAGACAATTTTATTAACATCTCACATAATGTTGAATACACCCCACATTAAAATTCAAAATTAAATCACTTATATATCTAATATGCAATGACAATTTTAACCTCATAAAGTTAAATAAAAAAATCTAAAAATCACAACTTTAACATGTATATCCTACAATTATTTTTCTTCAACTCTCAAAATCAATCTCATCCTCTATTGTAGTACAAAACCTAAATCAATGAAACTACAAACATGTTGATCACAACTTTAAAGCCCAGGGATAATGATCAATGATCAATACCCTCCTGATTTTCATTCACCGTACCACTACAACTTCATCTCCATATGAAATCAACAAATCTGCTTTGTTATGATGTTTTTCATAGAAGGGACTCAGAACTTGCATATTCTTGTTAATTATGATGCCTCAAATTACATCCAAACAGGAAGGGAATGAGAGGAGCGTTCAAGTCAAGCTACTCGCTTCTTTGGCTGTGATACCAAAAGCTCTCGCAGATGCACATGATTGATTGTTTTGTACATACAATGAAATTCTTCAATCCATTGATTCATGGATGCGTTTTATCAACCCCACATTCTTCTTTAATCAGGTTTAATTGAGTAAAAAATTACAAAAAAAAAAAAAAAATGAAGTGGAGTGTAGATAAAAACATGTGGGGTGTATGTTGAGAGTTGGGGGGGTATGAGGGTATTAAGGGAAAGTACGTGGGGTGTATAAAGATAACTTTTAATTAAAAAAAAGTAAATATGGGATGTATTCAACAATATTTAGGGTGCTAGTATAATAAGCCTTCATTTAATGCAATGGTCAACTAGTTTCGGATTAGATTGATTTTTAGTAGACCTGATTTTTGAGGTAAGACATAAAAGATAAACGATTTAAATCGTTAAAAGACATTACGGAGTAAGCTTCAAAAAATATTTGTTTAAATGTATGTCAAAAGCATGTGTCCCTAATCCTAAACCATTAAAAATAAAAGAGGGAGAGACCCCCACCAAATCTTTTGGCTTTATTTTCTACGTTGTGTAGTTTGTAAAGAATCTTGTCTGCTCAATCAAGGCCGGCTACTTGGTTTGGAGTGGGAGAAAATAAGCCATAGCAAAAAGGGCCGTCACCCTTTTCACTTTATAACTACTCTTGCAGATTCATTTTCTTTGTGTTTATTTTGTATGAGAACGAGGCCAAACGAGATTATATTAAGGGGTGTGATATCCATACACTTTATTTTACTTCTTACACACTCTTCTAATTTTCGACCCTTGGATCAGATGAATTGAAGAAGATCAATGAATAGAAATTAACAAGAAGTGTGTGAGAAGTAATTTGGGGTGTGTGGATAGTACACACCTATATTAATCAAGGGGAGGTACTTTATGCTTTTCATAACGATTAGTGGCTGCTTACTACAAAGTGCTTTCAAAATCAGCTAATTAATTAATTGATTTGGAAGGAAAAAAAAATTGTAAATGTTTAATTGAGATCCATATTTTTGATTGGGGTAGCTCGGAAAATGCGCCGGCCACTAACGAAGCGTTATGCGAGGTTTGCTTTTGTGTTATTGACCTCACGTATTTGTATTTATGTCTGATGTAATATATCAAGCAACAAAATTTTATTTACAATTAGAAAAAAATGAAGACATAAACCTAGCTCGAATAACAACCAACATTATGAATAAAATCAAGAGACGTCTTGAGAGTGTCGTGAGTTTGGAGAGAAATTATATATTAAAGCTTCAGTTTTTCATCTCAAAATTGTACATATGAAAGAAAGATATAGGCTGAGTTCTATTATTTTTCTCTACAAATTGGCCACAGCGGGTTCTGAGCTGTGGAGATGAATGTTTGAAGAGGAAATGGAGAGAGGGGAGACGATGCCGTTAATATGTGTGGTGGGAATTGGGAAAGAACAGAAATCTGGATGAAGTTTGGTGTCCGTCTAAAGATGCTTTTAAGGTCAATCACCATGAAATTAGGGAGCTCGGGAAAAGAGAGATGCAAATCTCATGAGATTAGAGTCAAAGAGGTGACTTCAGGTCAATGGACACTTTATTTATGTGGTCCAACCAAAATGTTGGCATGCCTCCTATTAATTGTGTGTTTCTTTACTTTTATTCTTTTGGATTGCCTAATATTTGCATTCTTCCAACCTTAAAATGAGGACAATGCCCAGCCTTTCAATAAATGTCGTTAGATTAAGAATCGTATCATAAATCAATTAAATCAAACTAATTTAACGATAATTAATAGAGGTGACTTTTGGAGGGTGAGAAAAGCACTAAAAAAATATTCTGATGGTGAGTATTGTCCAATTATTTTATTACAAGCGAATTTAGAGAAAAGTTCAAATTTAAATTCGAAATTATAGTGCAAGAGAATTTTTTTAAACAATTGAACTATAAACTAGTAAATATGTGTAAACTTGATTTTTGATTTTGCTCAAACTCTCTCTATGATTTTGCTCAAACGTCTTTATCTCATTCAACCTGCAAATTCAAAATAATATTTCTGTGGTTGCTGTGGATTCTTTGACAAAGCTTGAATTTGATCTTGTAGCTAAATGATAGTTGATCTATAACTTGAAAAGGCTATGGCCTTATATTTTGTCAAATAAGCTACATGACAAATAAACATCAATTTGTAGTTGGCATGGATTTGACAACTCATGTCTTCTAAATTCATAAGGGAAGAAATATCATAAATGGTATATTGACATTATGGTAAGAGGAAAACAAAAATCGTTTTCTACATAAATGTTATTTTTTTAATGCAAGCGATATTAATCTACACTCAAGGAGAGGAAGAGGGACAGTTTGAACTCAAAACGTAGTGAGTTGAAAAACAAAATACATAAAGTTGTTGTTTAGATAAAATGAAACTTTATTAAGAACAATAAACGTGTATAGAGTATACATACAAAATAAAACCAAGAGTCTACACGCATGTAAAAGAAACACTACAACTTTACTGTTTTTTTCTCATTACGTCTTGATACAATTGATTAGCCACGTCCAACCAACATGAAAGATAACACTCACAAAAACTAAATTTGCAAGAACCTACCTTCCATAAAGGCTTCACGAAAAAATATTGCACTATCATTTGATGATCTTGTAATCGTCAACAAAGAAGCACTACTATGATTCACCTTCAACAAACATCAAGCTTCCTTGTCATAGTCATTTGCCATGCCCCAAAATCATAAGAAATACAAAAACCATCCTCATCAGCTCTAATTACAGTTGCCGCTCAATAATTTGGGTTTGAGTCATATAGGCGCGACAAAGGCTTTACTCAACATTTTGAGATATCATCGACAATCACGAAGACTCTTCTCGCCTGAGCGAAAGAGCAAGTATAACTACGAGTTAAAGACAATTACGACATAGAAAAATATGGAGGGAAGATAGGGACGAGACCAAGAGAGATTAAGCCGACCCCAATGCCAAAGGAAAGGATCTGTAGCAGATATTTTTTCTGTTTTTCTCTCCAACCACTATAGTTTTCCCTAATTTACATAAGAATTTGATTCTACAATCTCTACTCATTTTAAATTTACTTTAACAAAAGAAAAGTGTAATGAGTCACGTTATCAATAAAATTGGGTTAGATCAATGCTTTTAATTAGTAATTGTCGTTTCTTCAATAATTATAATTGTAAACACGAGAAATCACGTTTCAATATTACCAAAGAAAATACTAGCATTACTAGTTTGAGTGTTTATAATTATTAATGGTAATTAACTCTACAACGATCAATGGTTGAGAGACGACAATTCATGCATGATCAAGGTAAGCTAAAACTTCATCAACTAAATTCAGTTGACCAAACGAAAACATATAACCAAATAATGACGGTAAGTTAATAGAAGATCTTTATATTTAGTAACAGAATGCAAATGCTGGCTCCTCTCTCTCTCTCTCTCTCTCTCTCTCTCTCTTTCTCTCTCTCTCCTTTTTATTTGTCAGTCACTCTCTGTCGTCATCTTGAATTCCCCGCTACCGTAGTGAAAAGGGGTGAAAACCCACTGAACGAGGGATTCCCTTTTCATGAATATTATTAAAGGTACATTTTGATCCAAATATTTGATTTTTGACTTTTTAGGTTAAATATTCAACGATTTTTTTTAATACATCTATATTTTTTCATTAAGTAGAAGGAAAATTCGGCTAAACCTTACAATAGGCAGCCCAATTTTTTGTCGAATTCGCCATCTATAACATTCAAACCTAAGACCTCTCGGTTCCAAGTGAAGAGGAATATCATCAGGCCGTAGTACTGAGCGGGTTCAACAGCTTATTTAGAAGTACATTTAAAATTGTTCAAAACGATTTTGATAAAAACATTTTTTTTGAACTAATGCTTTAGTAAGAATGCAAGTGAATTCTGAAAAAAAAAAAAAACACTTAAAATTGAAATGCTTCCTATAGATAGCACATAACTGACACTTCTTGTATTAAACACTTTAAATGTTTTTGGAGCTCAAAAATATTTTTTTTAAAAAGCATTTTGGTCATTTTCAATATAGAATTGATCAAACTACTATTAATTCACTAATTAAATCCAAAAGATAAAGACTTAACAGCTTGCAAAAGAAAATCTTGTTAATTTCAAAAGAAAAAAACACAATAATTTTTTTATAAAACAAAAGAAAAAGGTTAATTTATCGGTGCAAAAAAAACCAAACAGTGCTGTTTTAAACGTACCAAGCTTCTCCAAAATTATAAATGATATTACATACATGACATTTATGCCTACACACACACACACACACACACACACACACACACACACACATATATATATATATATATTAAATGTAATGTACCGTTATATAATCTAAATTTGTGTACAAATTAGTATTTTGGTATATTAAGTAATTTTTGGTTAAATACGTACCAAAGCTATCGATATGTTGTATTATCATAATTTTGGTGTGTAAAAAACTAATGGCATGTTATTTGTAACCCTAAAGAAATGCATATTAAAACTTTATAAAAAAAAAATATAATATTAAATTATAATAAATTAATTATTAAAATAATGACATTTATTTTCAGAAGAGAAAAAAAAGGAGAAGGACTAGACATAAAAAATTGAATTTTTAGAAAACAATTTCTATGAATTTAGGGATTCTTGATCTCAGTTTTAATAATAATAAAATTCTTATTTTCTTTAAAGTTTAAATTATTATCTCTATTAATCTATTATCTCTACTAATTAATGAAACCCTCTTTGTCAACTAAAAGAAGATGAAAATACAACTTAGTCTTCTATCACACAAAAAAAAAACGATGGGCAATAATGTAATTTCACAAGTTCAAATTTTATTATTATTTTTATTGAAACCTTACCTACAAGTGATGTTAAAATATCTCTAATATTTAAAATTTTAAAATTAAAAAAAAAACCAAAAAAAAAAACCTCCCACTTTCCCCACATGTTCTCTCTCTCTCTCCCTCTCTCCTTCTCATTTTCTAAAAAAATGTGTTCATACACACAAAGTGTGTAGGCAAATGCTAGTTGAAAATTAAGAAAAGAACATGGATAAAGGTAAAGCAGTTCAATTATAATTTAGAAGGCTTCAAGAAAAAAACTAAAAACAAACCAATGCTTAATAAATAAAATGTAAAATAGCGGTTGACTCTAATGATCTCATTATCAAATGTTTTACCAAATTATGCAATAATCAAATTAATTAAAAAAGTAACAACGATGTATGCAAGCAAAGGAAAAGTGGATCCCAAATTTTCCTATGTAAGGGTCGCTGAATTAGCCAACCTAAACCACAGATCGAGGTCTAAAATATCGATATTATTCCGATATTTCCATCGAAATTTCCGTGTTTTTGGACTACCAATATTTCCGATATCATCAATATTTTAGACCTTAATAGAAACTCTATGTGGTACTAAGTCACTCATGTATCTTACCATGCAATGTATAAAGTGTAAAATATTGTACTAAGTCATTATATATAAATGATTATGGTGTGTTTAAACTTCTTTCATTAATTACTACATATTTTCTACGCTTACAATGTTTGCCAGCTCGCTATATAATCAACTTAAATCAGTTAAATCCATCATGCAATGCATTTTCTTCCAATTTTTTGTGATAAACTAATAGATAATTGACTAAATAAATATCCTGCAAAGTTTCAATAAAAGTTTCCAAGTTTTTCTTACAATTTCCTTGGTTTTATTCAATTTTTATCGATATCGATAATATCCCGATATTTCCATCGAAATTTCCGTGTTTTTGGACTACCGATATTTCCGATATCATGGATATTTTAGACCTTGCCACTGACTCATCCTTTTGGTTGCTCGTTTTTGTGCTTCATCTTGTCATGTTCGTCATCACCATCGTACGGCTCACAATTGGTCTTCATTTTTAGGGGTTTTTTTTAACAAACGATATTATTTACGCTAAAGGGAAGGGTGTGAGTTTAGTCTCACTTACAAGTGAAGAGGAATACCACTAGACCGTAGTATAGAATAACTTCATTTTTAGGGTTTTGATAACTACTATTCATCCACATTAATATAACGCTCGCGCACACACACACATATACATATATAATATGTAGAGAAAAGCTAATTGTGCTTAGTTTAAACATGGCTGAAATGGGTTTCTGTTAAAGTCGAAATCTTTGCGTAGAGATTGATGGAATTAGGTTTTTAAGTGATGATATGATTAGGTCATGATGATTTAGCAGTAATAAGAGAAAATGGGGGGGGGGAGATTGGATATTAACGTGTAAGTGTTTGTGTTTTTATGAGTGAGGGTGTGTGCATGGTAAACGATGGGACAAATGAAAGAGAGAGAGAGTGTGTGTGTGTGTGTGAGCGAGAAGAGAAAGAGAGAGGACAAAGAGTGAAGGGTTTTTGTTTAGGTCGTGGTCATTTCTGTAACCCAAGACCCAGTTGGTAGGGTCTCTGCTGACTTTAACTTACTTTGTCATTTTTACCCTTCCCCCCCCCCCCCTCTCTCTCTCTCTCTAGACTCAGCCTTTTTATCTCTATCCTTCCCTTCTCATATCTCGTACCACCCATTTCATTTCTCTCATTCACCACGATCACACACCACTCCTCCCTCCCCCTCTTTCTCCTCCTCCTCCTCCTCCTCCTCCTCCTCTCTCTCTCTCTCTCTCTCTCTAGTTCATAGTTAGGGTACTTTTGTGAAATGGAGGAAGAAAGATCGAAGAAGAGGAAGCAAATTTGGTTATTGAGGGGAATGTTGTTTGGCTCGAGGCCCCTAGCTAGATCTATGATCTCCATCTCAATTGGCGACAATTTTAACCACCAACCTTAAAAAATTTACAGTACCAGTTGAGAAAGATCATCGATTCTACGTTTAACGACCTCGGACCAGGCTTCATTCCCCCCAATTACTGCTTCCAATCACACAGATCTTCACTACCCATCGCATATATTTACGCCGAGCATCCAAAGATAACATCTTTCCAGATTTCTGTTGATTTTTCCCAGCCTTCATATTTGTATATTTTTATGAACATTATTTTCTTTTTATTTTTTTCTGACGGCTTTTTATTTTTCGTTGAAGAAATTGTACATGGGTTGTTGACCAGGCAGAAGCAGATTGGTGTAATGATGAAAGGTTTTGACTGCTATTTTATGCTTTTTTTCTTTTTTTTTGCTTTTAACTCTGACGAAAGTGGGGAAAGATCATGATTACTCTTTCATTTTTATCTCTAAATTTCATGAAATTGGGCAGCACATATGCAGGTTTGCGTTTTCTTTGTCAGTCCCTAACTCTTTCAACAGGTTTTCATATCATTGGACTGGTTTTTTTCATGATGGCTTCAAGAATCTTCTCTGTCCACTTCTGCTTTCTCTCTCTTTCTAATCTCACCACAGCAACTTTTAATTGGGTAATTTTTTTTATTGGTGAACACAGGGGCTAATTGAGTACTTTAAATTTGCCTTCGACAACCCTAATTTTACTTGTGCATTATAGCACCGTAGTCCTCCCGTAGGGTTTACACTTTACACGCTGCTATTACTGTCTCTCTCTTAAATAATCTTGTTCAGTTACTATAAAACATTTTTATTTTTCATTTTTCCTTCTGATTAATATTTCTTATACGTGAATACATAATGCTGCAAAAAAACAAGCATTTGATCATTGTTCTTCTTTTAAATTTGTTTCTTTTGTTGTTGGCGGTAGCGGGTTTGGTGGATTAATTCAGCTTTAGAGCGTTGTAATCTCCGGAGCTTTGTCTTGTTTGTACTTTATCTTAATCATCCATTAATTAAACATTTATTTGTCAGATTATATTGGATTTCTTCAGATCTGGATGATCTTAAAGATCAGATTTTTTTTCTTTGTTTCTTGATTATGTTATTATGTCTTTGTATATGTGTATTCAGTTTGCGTTGATGTTTTTACAGTAGCTCTGAAAGATCTGATCATATCACACAAATTGAAAAGAAAGGAATAATCTATCAAGGGTGACAGATGTAAGTGAGATGTATGACAAAGTTGTATCTGAGAAGCAACCCAGTTGCTAACACTGTTGAAATTACTCTCTTTAAACTTTGAGTTGTCTCCAAACATAATGTAATCTTGATTGTGCTCCAAGGAAGACAATGTCATGTAAAAGAGGAAAAAGGGAAAAAAGATGTGATAGATTGGACTTCTCTGACTCTGGTGGATTTCGACCCTAAATTAATTCTTAAATTACTGATAAGCAAGTTGTTAATTAGTAGCTTGAGTTTCCTACTTCAATTGTTCTGGTCCCATTATTCATACATAAACATGAGTTTATATTGTTTGTCAGTCTAGGCCATGAATATCTTTTGGAAATTTGGTAGTTGAACATACACACACGTATGAATTAGTTGGTCTCGAGTATCAATCTACAATCTTATATATTATGGATATTTAACTCATACATTTTTGTTAGAACCAAATTTATGCACATCTACGAATGGATGCGAAATCCAGTCGGAATTGCCCATGATCTTCGGCAATGTGAGAATGGGGTTAATTGGGGGTGTGGTTGAACCACAATAGAACTGCGTACATATCTCTAGGAAGAAGAATCCAACCACAAGAGTAGTTATATGAAAGAATGGTGTGATGAGTAGTACATCATGAACCATCCTTGACATAGCCTATGGAGGGACGTTAAGGAGATGAGTTCTCCATGGACGTGTCTACGTATAGACGGCATCATATATGTAAGATAAGCCTTTGTTAAACATAGAGAGGATATGTGTATATTGTAGAAGATGAAAAATCATGAGGGTTTTGGATCATAAAAGACTTAGTGAGATAAATGCCCATGCTAGGTATTTATACATATCTTGAGAGTCCTTGTAGGAAAAGGGATCCCAATTAAATCGAGAGACTATCCAGGAGGGAATCTAGGATAAGATACCCAATCCTCCTAGGATCATGATTACGTTACCTAATCCCCAAGATATCCCAATTTGACTTGAATTAGGGTTTCTTTACTAAACAAGTACTATTTTTGATAGGCTTCTGTCTGACCATGGTTGCCTCTCTTTGCTGTACTCTGACTCTGTTTGAATTATTTGTTTTGATAAAGGCTAGGTCTGATCTGACTTAGGTAGCTCTAGTCTGGATGCCTCATTCGAACTTCTTAAACATATGTGATATAGAATGTACTTGACCTAGTACGCTGGTCCGAGATGGAAGTAATTGTACTTAGGGTCGAAATCTCATATTTACCTCTTAGATGATTTCCGAATTGCCCTTTCAATCATTTCTGAGAATGATGTCGAGCCCATGTTAGAATGTTATAACCTACAATCCTTAGGTTGTGTAAACTGTCTGAAGGCCAGATGGTGCATTGGGTTTTCGGGTCAAGGGCCATGTCCCCTTGCTCAAAGCCTGCCTATTGTTACCAGGCTTCATACGGTTTTGACCTTCTTAGTAATAACAGATGTCAGAAGGCTATTGGGTGGAATGAAGAGATAAGGATAAATACAATAGGTATGGTTGTATTGGATAAGTCAGGTGTATTGGATAAGTCAAGTTGGTTAGTTAGAAATTCTCTATATGTACCGGTATGTGAGCACAGGGTGCAGTTTATGAAAAACAGTTCAGAATTAGTTTGCTTTCTCTCTTTCCTTTTGTTTCTTCTTCTTCGATACTATTGCATATTTTCTTCTTCTTCTTCTTCTTAGTTTCTTGATACTGTTAACATGGTATCAGAGCCAAGGTGTGATCCATGGTGAATCTTCCACTGTCTTCGATCCGTGGTAAATCTTCTGTTGTATCTGTGGTTCTTCGAGGTGTGTTCTAAAAGTTCTGTAGTGATCGAGGAGAGTTCTTTGGTTATAGTATGCAAGATTCAATGGTGGAAATTTCCAGGCGATCTCAGGTGTATAGTTTCTTATCTTGAACACTCGCAGATAAACTGTTTGATAGAATGTATCTGAAAGAAAATTTGTTGTTCATCGATGAAGTTTTAGTGTCTAAATTTGATTGTTCTCAAGAAGACTGATGTCTATTGAATTTGCTTACTCAAGATTGAGAGTTTAAAAAATTCGATAATATTAATTTCTGTTGTAGTTAGTTGAATTCTGAAGATTACAGTGTGTGATTCTTGTGAAAGATTTGATCATTTAGTTTCTTGTTGAAAATTGATATCATGGTTTCGTCTACTGTGAAGATTGAAGGTTTGTTGGGTATGTTAACCATAAAACTCAGTGAGCACAATTATACTAAGTGGGTTTTTCAGTTTCAGTCAGTTTTGAAAGGCTACAAATTGTTTGGTCATTTCGATGGGTCTGTGAATTGTCCACCCAAATTTACTGTCATTCCTGAAACTGGAGTGAGTAAGGATGTGTCAGAAGATTATCAAGAATGGGAATCATTGGATTTGGCTTTGTTGAGTCTGTTAATTGCTACATTGTCTGATGATGCGATGGAACATGTTATTGGTTGTAGAACTGCTAGAGATACTTGGTTGAGTCTTGAGGAGAGATTTGCTTCTGTGTCCAAAACTGGTGTTAATCATTTGAAGACGAGTTACATACCATTCAAAAAGGTGGAGACTCGGTGGATAAGTATTTGCTTCGGCTTAAATCTATTAGGGATCAATTAACTGCAGTATGAGAGTTTGTTTCAGATAGTGATGTCATTATTGTTGCTTTAGCTGGATTGCCAAAGGAGTATGCAACTATCAGAACTGTAATTTTGGCTCGAGATACTACTATCTCAATGAAAGAATTCAGAGCTTTATTGCTTGGTGCTGAAAGGGAAAATGAAACAGTGCTTAATTCATTGTCTAATAGCATGTTAGCTTTGTATATGAATAGTGCATCATCTAGCTTGTCTGGTACTTCACAACTTCACAGTGGTGCTTCGAGTTCTAATTCGTCTAATGTTGAGTCAACTACTGGAGGAAGAATCACTCAGGTTCCGTATAGTTCTGTGCCATCAGGGTTCACTTCTCAGTTACCTGGAGGTGCTTCTTATTTTCCTTGTCACACCTTTGAGTATGGAACTGGTTTTGTTGGTAGTAGTCATCCTGATTCAGGTTCTGGGCAATGGTCTGGTACAACTCAATATCATGGTGGGCAGCAACAACAATAACAACAACAACAACAACTAAGGCTATACAATGGTAGTCAACAGAGGAATAATGGAGGATATAGGTCAAATTACAAAGGAAAAGGGTCGAATGGGTACAGACATAACAATACATGGTCTGGAAATACTGAGTCCCGAACAATTTTGCATCCTGAATGTCAAATATGTCAACGAAGAGGTCACACTGCTCCAAACTGTTTCTTCAGGGGGTCTCAATCACCTACTACTGGTTATTCAACTGAGTGCCAGATTTGTGGAAGGCGTGGCCACACTGCACTGGAGTGTTACCACAGGGGAAACTATGCATATCAACCTTCAAGCCACCTATTTCTCAGACACCAACATTCACTACTTCTTCATCTGTGTCTCCAATTCCATCTACTTCAGTATTTTCTCAACAACAAGGCACTTTTGGTCCATCAGCTCCTTTCATGGTACATTATTCCTATCAAACTCCAGGGTTTTGTCCAACTGTCTCTGATCCGAATCAAGCATCATATCAAGGCCATGCTATGGCTGTTCAGAATGCTGCACTTGAGACTTCTGCACAGAATTCCACATGGATTCTGGATACTGGAGCATCCCATCATATGACCTCTGACATTGCGAGTTTGAACAATATAACTCCTTTTGAAGGTGCAGAAACAATAAAGATTAGAAATGGTCAGGGGTTATCAATTCGTAATATTGGAAGTACTATGATAAAAACACCTTTCAGCTATCTAAAACTGAATTAAGTGTTACATGTTCCTTCAATAGCAGTTAATCTTTTATCTGTGACTTAACTGTGCAAAGACAATAAATGTTGGTTTATTTGTGATGACACAGTGTTCTTTGTGCAGGACAAGGCAACAAAGCAAATCTTGTACCAAGGAAGGATTAAGCCTGGAGAATTGTTTCAGATCATTGCCTCAACGTTTTCATCTTCAGCAGCATTTATTGGACAATTGGTGAAGTCTTCAGTGTGGCATCAGAGATTGGGACATCCAACAAATGAAGTATTGTCTGTCATGTTAGCTAAGTCTCAAATATCTCATGCTATAGATGATGTGCATAGGATGTGTACTGGTTGTATTCATGGAAAGATAGCTAAGAAACCTTTTGCTTCTGAATCTGTGAGATGTCTTTTTCCTTTTGAAAGAATTCATATGGATGTTTGGGGGCCAGCATCTGTTAAGTTAATTGAAGGCTACAGATTTTATGTTACCTTTGTGGATGATTGTACTAGACATGTATGGATTTTTCCATTATTCAATAAATATGAAGTTTTCTCATTGTTTGTTCAGTTCTACAATTTTGTTGAAGTTCAATTTCATATAAAGATCAAAAGTATGCAATCTGATGGAGGGGGTGAGTTTGTCAACAAAGCTTTTAAGGATTTTGTTGCCTCCAAGGGAATGATTCATAGAATTTCTTGTCCTTACACACCTCAACAAAATGGTTTAGTTGAGAGGAAACATAGACATATAATTGAAACTGCTATAACATTGATGAATGTTGCTGGATTACCTCAAGATTTTTGGTAGTGCTCATGTAGTGTATTTGATTAATAGAATGCCAAGTAGAACCTTGCAGATGGCATCTCCTTATTACACTCTGTTTAATAAATCACCACAGTTACATGATTTGAAGATATTTTTATTGCACTCTGTTTAATAAATCACCACAGTTACATGATTTGAAGATATTTGGATCAGCTATGTATCCATATTTAAGACATTATAATGATTCCAAACTTCAACCTAGGACTTCTATGAGTATCTTTCTAGGGTATGCTCCTAGGTATAAAAGTGTTATCTGCTATAATTTGGAGTCAAGACGGTTAATCCTGTCCAAGCATGTTTTACATGATGAGTCAATTTTTCCAGCCAAGGTTGAGAAACCTAAAGTCATAGAAGTGGTGAGACAAATGTCAACAGTTTCTAATTGTCCAATTCTGCTTAATAGTGATTCTCTCAGAACACATTCACAGAGGTCAATTGAAACACAATCTGTAAATATCAGTCACCTGTCAATGCAAGGATCACAGAATGATTCATATTCTACTTCTCATTGTAGACAGGTCTCACAAGTCCCAGTTTATAATTTTTCTGAGAATGATGGTGTTCCCACAACAACTGATATCATGCAAGCCTCTTCACGGGGATCTGAAACTACAAATTCACAGGCTCATTCTCAAGGTCAAGGTCAACTTCAACCTTTGTTGCCTGTCCTCAATCCGGCATAATTATAGGTAGTTCTCTCATTTCTTTCTAATGTGTCTTCGAGTTCTGTTCCCATTCAAGAATTAGTATCACACAACTCACACCTTATGCAAACAAGGATAAAGACAAGAGCTATTGAAAGGAAAAACTATGCTACTTATCTTGCTTCAATTCCAGAAATTAAGTCCCTACAACTTGATGATACTTGTGATACCATATCTGGTGGATATTCCTTTATTGCTGATGTTAATGATGGTGATGAACCAAAAATGTTTCGAGCTGCTGCATCCAATCCTAAATGGCCGCAAGCAATGCAGGAAGAGTTCGATGCATTGAAAACTCAAGGGACTTGGAATCTTGTTCCCAAACCATCCAATCGATCAATCATTGGCAGCAAGTGGGTTTATAAGATCAAAAGAAATCCTGATAGGAGTATAGCACGATATAAGGCACGGTTGGTCGCTCAGGGGTTCACTCAAGAGCAAGGTGTTGATTACTCAGAAACGTTTAGTCCAGTGGTTCGTCATACCACAGTGAGACTGATATTGGCTTTGGCTACCTGTTACAAATGGGAACTAAGGCAACTGGATATAAAGAATGCTTTTCTATATGGAGAGCTTCAAGAAGAAATTTATATGAAGCAGCCATAGGGGTTTTCGGATCTAAAATATCCCAATCATGTATGCAAGTTAGTTAAATCCTTGTATGGGCTTAAACAAGCTCCAAGAGCCTGGAATGCCAAGTTCACTGGAGTCTTGCCATCTCTTGGGTTTACTATGTCTCAATCTGATACAAGTCTGTTCATTAAACATGATGGTCCAGATATTATCATCTTACTACTTTATGTAGATGATATTATTCTAACTAGTTCAAATTCTATCATTACTCATCTTGCAGAATTATTTGATTTAAAAGATATGGGAAGACTGACATACTTTCTGGGACTACATATGCAATACAAACCAGATGGCAGTTTGTTCATCAACCAATCAAAATATGCAAAGGAGCTGCTCAGTAAGGCAGGGATGACTTCATGTAAACCTGCTCCAACACCTTCAAAGCCACATACACAGTTGCTTGTCTCAGAAGGTACACCTATGGAAGATCTAACATTATACAAGAGTGTAGTTGGAGCACTGCAATACTTGACATTCACCAGGCCAGATATATCACATGCTGTGAATGTACTGTGTCAATACATGACTCAACCAACTGATCCACATTTTTTCCTGGTAAAACGAATCCTAAGGTATCTGCAAGGTACATTAGACTGTGGCATTACTTATATACCATCCAAAGACATTAATATCTCAGCATTCTCTGATGCTGATTGGGCTGCAGATGTCAACACACGGAGGTCGATATCAAGATATGTAGTGTATGTTGGTGACAATCCCATTTCATGGCAGTCAAAGAAACAAGCATCAGTTTCGAGAAGTTCAACTGAAGTTGAGTATAAGGCTTTAGCTAACTGTACTGATGATGTGTGTTGGATCATATCAGTACTAAGAGACTTGCATTAGGTTCTGAGTTGTCCTCCAGCTCTACATTGTGATAATTTGTCAACTTTGGCACTTTCATCCAATCCTGTGTTTCACTCCCGCATCAAACACCTTGACACTGATTATCATTTTGTCCGAGAAAGAGTTCAAAATCGAGATATAACAGTGCATTATGTACCAACAGAGTCTCAAGTTGCTGATATACTTACAAAGGGATTGCATAGTCCTTTATTCATCAAGCATTGTCATAACCTCAGGATAGGAAATCCCGGCTGAGATTAAAGGGGAGTAATAACAGATGTCAGAAGGCTATTGGGTGGAATGAAGAGATAATGATAGATACAATAGGTATGGTTGTATTGGATAAGTCAGGTGTATTGGATAAGTCGAGTTGGTTAGTTAGAAATTCTCTATATGTACCGGTATGTGAGCATAGGGTGCAGTTAATGAAAAACAGTTCAGAATTAGTTTGCTTTCTCTCTTTCTTTTTGTTTCTTCTTCTTCAATACTATTGCATAGTTTCTTCTTCTTCTTAGTTTCTTGATACTGTTAACACCTAGCTGCTAACCAAATTCTACAGACTGGGCTAAATGAGACTCCTTTGACATTATAACTGTGAATATTTAGACTTGTAATTACGCGAAGTTTGAAAGCTATGTATTATTCTGGAATTTAGGTTATTTCATGTACCGCAATGAATAGTGTAAGAAAGAACAAACAATGGCGAAGATTTGAAAAGATAATTTCCTGCTTTGGGTCATCTATCATGGATATGCATTTAATCATGTATATAATTAAATAAATAAAAGTACTTATCTCTTGGAGCACCACCTTGGTTTGGACCAAGGTTATTCACCTGTTGGATGGGCCTTTGAGTTGTTTTCCTCACTTATCTTTGATGATGCCTTTGAGAATCCCAGAAGATATCTAGGAATAGATATTGCATTCTCTTAGGAGTGTGACTACTTACGGCGAACGCCAATCCTTAGATAGTAAGGACTATAAGATTATAGGAAACTCTATGATTCTTTGCTGGAGTAGGTTTCTGTATCTTGTGGGAACAAGCACAGTCAATCTTAGTGAGGCTCCAAAACAGGATGATGGTGGAATCACTGCTCCATTTGTGCAACTTCGAGGATAATTTTTTTTAATCCATGATCGAACTACAAAGGTAACTGACTTCCACTTTGCTCCGAATAGTTTTCGAGTAAGTCGGAGTAATTTTCCATTCGGACTTCCTCATGTGTGGGAATCTGGTTCATAACGGCCATATGGGATAGGCGTCATTTGGATTCATGAAAATTTTCTTCTTTCTCCGTTTAGTATGCCCCTTGTGTTTTTCCATTGCAAGCTAGCAGTTGAGGAGGACAAGTGTGGAGTTGTCGCGTAGTGGTTTGCAAATGACTTTTGTTTTTATCTCATCAAGGCAAACTTGAGTTGGTTGGAGCCTTTAGGTTAACCGTTGACTTGATCGTTACTGTGTGTATCCTAAACTCATAGGTTGTGGTGGCGCGTTGTACGTGTTTGATATGGGTTGGAGGAAGAACTTGAGGAATACCGCAGAGAAATCTAGCAAGCGCGATGAGTGGTAAAACGATGATAACGTCTTCCACGTGGCTCGAAACTAAGTTTCGTAAAACTCTACAAAAGTCTGACATCTCTATCTTCGCGATAGTGTATGGCAAAAAATTAACTCACTTGGAGGAGGCACAATTTAGCTTGTCAATTTGGTAGTGTTGTTGTAATTGGCTGGGCTGGCTTGCTGTTATCGATTTTGCGTGTCAGATTTGAGACGGTTATGCCTTCTGGAAAAATTTGATAAAAATAAGAACATTGTAGCTAGGGGTGGCCACGGGCCGGGCCGGGCACAAAATTAGAGGGATCCGACCAGACTGGTTTATAAATTTATCGGGGCAGGACGAATTGGGAGTTTTGTAGAAATGAACCGGACCTAACCCGACCCATTTTAAACGGGTCGGTTTCTACGAGTCCACGACTGCTTTTTTATTTTTTTTTTATTTTTTTTTACTTTTTCAAAACATAACAAAAATAAAAAATCCTAAATTTAAGAACCACAATCAAAACTATCCCCCGTATTATACTTTCTAAAATGCCCCAAAACACGTATTAAGATTAATAAACATATTGCAAATCAATTGGTGAACACAAATAGAATCTAAGCAAATTCTAGATTTGGGTTACTCATAAAATTGTTCAAGTTTATCGGCTGCAATTCAGGTTTGGTTGTTGAATACTTTAAAATGATATGTTGGGTTATGGAAATTGACTTACAGATTGAAGATTCAAGGGATTGATGGAATGCAAAGCTTGAAATTTCAAAACCCAAGTCAAATCTCAACCCATATGCCACCTAAAGTGTGAAAACAAGCTCATTCCAGTCCCTGATAAAGAAACGGAAAACTTCCTCTGTAAGTTTTCTTATTGCATTAACTAAATGATGAATTGCATAGTGTGTTGGTATATATAGCCTTTTGACTTTTTGACTATTTACATAGATACCCCTAACTGCCCTAACTAATTACAATAGTAACCACAACTAATTACATTTAGTTTTAACAATAACTGGAGTGGACGACTTGTCATTCTCCCTAATACACCCCCTCAAGCAAGAACAGGAATCAGACATGATTCCAATTGGAAGCTTGGAACATAGATAGTTAAATCTGTTTTTAGATAGGGCCTTGGTGTGAAGGTCAACTAATTGGTCTTCACTATAAATAAACTGCACTTTGAGAAGATTTGCCAGAACCAATTCTTGAATGTAGTGATAGTCAATCTCAAGATGCTTTGTTCTAGCATGAAAAACTAGATTGGATGCTAAGGATATAGGTGAGATGTTGTCACACCAAAGTGTAGGCAATGTAGATAGAGGGAAGTGAAGATCTTTGAGAATCTTGCAAACCCAAGTCATTTCTACAACTGTGTGAGCTAAGAAGCGATATTCAACTTGTGTAGATGACCGAGCAATAGTGCTTTGTTTCTTGCCACTCTAGCTAATTAGATTAGAGCCTAGGAACACATAATAGCCATTGGTAGAACGCCGATCAAATGTGCAGCCAGCCCAATCAGCATCAGAATATGCTAAAAGATGAACATGACCCTTTGTGAACCACAAACCATGAGAAATAGAGCCCTGAAGAAACCTAAGAACTCTTTTAGCTGTGTAAAGATGTTGTTCCCTGGGAACATGCATGAATTGGCAGATCTGATTCACAGTAAAAGCAAGATCCGGCCTAGTCCAAGTTAGATATTGTAAACCACCAACAATTGAACAATATTCGGTAGGATTGGACAAGAGAGGCCCACTGTGATCTAATTTCTTGGATCCAAGGGGAGTGCAACAAGGTTTTGCACCCTCTATGTTTGTTTTCTTGAGAAGATCTAGTACGTACTTGGTTTGGTGGAGAAATATGCCCTGTGAAGATCTGTGTACCTCTAATCCCAAGAAATAGTGTAGAGGACCAAGGTCTTTCACTGGAAATTTGGCATTGAGTTGCTAAATAAATTGTTGACAAAGTTGAGAATTGGGTCCAGTGATAATAATATCGTCAACATAGACAAGAACAATTACCAACTAGGACCATTGAGAAAAAACAAAGAAGCATCAGAGAAGGATTGTTTGAACCCAAGAGATTGAAGAGCTTGATACAACTTATCAAACCAAGCTTGAGGAGCCTGTTTGAGGCCATACAAAGATTTTCTCAACTTACAGACATAATTAGGATATAGAGGATCAACAAAACTAGGGGGTTGTTGCAAGTAGACATCTTCTTTTAAATCTCCATGAAGGAAGGCATTACTAATGTCCAATTAGTTAAGAAACCAATTATATTGAACAACTAGGGTAAGAAGTATCCAAATTGTAACCGGTTTGGCAACCAGACTAAAAGTTTCTTGAAAATCAACACCTTCCTGTTGATGGAAGCCCTTTGCTACAAGTCAGGCTTTGTATCGATCAACAATGCCATCGGGCTTTTTCTTAATCCTGAAAACCCACTTGCAGCCTACTATGTTTTGAGAAGGATAAGAGGGAACTAGGAACCAAGTACCAGTGAACAGCAAAGCATTATATTCATCTTGCATGGCCTTTCTCCAGTGAGCATGCTTGGAAGCTTGCAAATATGTAGTAGGAACATAGTTAATATTAACTGGAAGTGGGTGATTTGTTGCTACATATGCCCTTGATTTGAATATCGCAGCCTTAGATCTTGTAATCATAGGATGGGAATTAACTGGAATAGGAGGATGACTTGGTTGAGTTGATAACAAAGAGGAATGTTCTGAAGTATGAACAGAACTGGAAGAATTATCTACTGAAATGGTTTCAGTGGAGGAGGAAGGTTGAGTAATGGGAACAGGCATAGAAGCACAAGATGGTGATGAAGATGAAAGATTGGAAGTAGTGGAAATATGTTTACTAAATTGGAGATTCAGAGAGGATGAACATGGTGGTGATGAAGATGAATGACTATCTGAACATGGTGGTTTCTGAAGAGGGAAGGATTGAAATGGATAAGTACTTTCATCAAATACAACATGGCGGAAGATGTAAATTCGATTGGTAGTAGGATCAAGACACCTATAGCCTTTGTGTTGAAGACTATATCCTAAAAAGACACAACTTTTGCTCTTGGGATCCAATTTACTATGAATATAAGGTTTGAGCCAAGGAAAACATTGGCAGCCAAACAATTTAAGTTTAGAGTAGTCAGGATGACGATGAAATGGAAATTCCCAAGGTGATTGTGAAATTCCGGAGATGGGAAGTTGATTGATAAGGTATATGGCAGGAGAATGCTTCTACCCAAAAGATATGAGGGACATGGGAGGCAACTAGCAAAGTTCGAGTTGTCTCAACAAGATGCCTATGCTTTCTCTATGCACAACCGTTTTGTTCAGGAGTATGAGGATAACTGAAATGATGGAGAATGCCATGTTTACTGAGATATGATGCAAAAGAATTACTAGTGAATTCACCCCCTGAAGACAACAAATGTAGA